GCAGACCAAGCTAGGAGCATGGGACAGGGAGCAAAAAGCAGGGCAGGAAATGGAGATTGGAATGGCACTCTGGGAAGATACAGGACTATTTGCAGAATGCCTGCCAAAAAGGTTGGCCCCCAGTGTTTAAAGGAAGGACTGAGCTCAAAATCCCTTTGCACACTAAGCCAAATTTAGTTTTAGTTTTGAAGTATTTGACTAATGACCTGTACATACATAATACACAGGGGCAGATCCAGAATTTCCCAAAATGGGGTGCAAAAGCAGCAACCTGCACTGTAGGGGTGGCTATGCCACTCCACCCAGCCTCCTCTCCCCCACTGGTGTGGGCAGACTTTTTTTTTTAAGTCTCTAAAACGGATAAAAATCCTGCCTCCCTTCCCCTTCCTGCCCGGAGGCTCACTCTTTCTTCCCTTCCCTTCCTTCTCACCCCCTTCTGCCTGTAGCTGCTGCTTTCTCTAGTGCTTCTGGTCTGGAAGCTGAAGAGCCAACTGGGCTTAGTGGGGGCTGGACTCAGCTGGAGAGGGAACAGTGGCAACAGCAGGCATGGGGAAGGAGAACCTTGCATCCATCCCTGCTGCTGTTGTTTCAGTCCCCAGGTGAGCTCACCCCCATGCAGCTCTGGTGTTTCCCCACTTCACAACAGAGGGAGATGGAAGAATGGGTGGAAGGGGCAAGGGACATGCCTTTGAGCAGGAATGGGTAGGGAGGGTGAATTTTCACTTGCTTTAGAGACATTAAGAAGTACCCAGAGGCTCCTCTGGTGCAGTGCAATCTGAAAGGGGAGTGCAGCTGTGCCACTGCACGGCCTCTGGATCTACCCCAGTGATACAAATCTAGTGGTACTCTTACCATAAAACCTGGTGCCAAATAAAGTGAAAATCATAATTTTACTGCCTAATACATTCCAACTGTGTGTTCATGTAACAAGTAGGCCTGTGCGAATCGGCAGCGATCCGATACGGCCGCTTTGGATGGCTGCGATCCGATCCAGAGCTCTGGACTGGGTTTCCACCTCGATTCGGAGCTGCTTCGGCCGGAGCTTCAGAGCCGCCTCAGAGATCCAGCCATAGGGTATAATG